ATTGTGTCATCCTTGCCATCCTTCACAGCTACCACCGTCAGATCATCTGAAGAGAAATTAAGATCAATATAAGAGTGTATACTTTTCTTTACCAGTATAGCTGTTCTTACCCTGTTTGTTGCACTCGGGATGTGCGTATAGTAAGTTTGCGACTTTAGTCCAGCTACCACGTTTCCCGACGCTATCCATGGCTCCTGGACTAACGCCGCATCGTAGCCGATCCTCTCTAAATTGAGGAGGAGCTCGGCAGAGGCGACCTTGCTTTTATGCAGATTTATTTGAAGAACCTTCACTGCAAGGATCAGGATTCTTTTCGGGGTCGGGTAGAATCTCCGGATCGCCCTTCTCGGTCTCCTGGAGCTTAAAGGTGGCCTCCAGTATGTAGTTAACTTACATACATATGTTTCCACAGAATGCTATATATTCTGGAAATACTAGATATGTTGACTGTTTGACCTAGAAACGCACAGTTGACTAGTTCCGCTCTGTTCAACAGTTGCCAACTTTGCGATATTTTTTCCATCGTACAATTTTTTCGCTACCTGTACTCAACGTGTTTTGCTCAGCCTAGACAGATGATCGAAAAGATTTACGCAGCTTATATTAAATGTACTATGCTCATAAATGGAGAGCCAGCCTTTAATAGAAATATTTGGGCGGTTCACAAGGTGTCGTATTGTCGTATGTTGTAAAGTTTTTAATGGCTAAATAAATGTTTAGAGGACTTGAAATCACCACCAACTATTTTTTAACGGTGTGAAATTTCATAATAAACTTTTATGTTAGCTTGCGAATTCCTTAAATATAGTTTTAGCCGTTTAAAGTTTATGACATACAAGAGTACGACAGTATACAACACCTTGTGAACTCCCTAGTTATGTCCTGATTATATAAAATAAAGCTAAAAAGTTCAAAATTAAATTATGGAAAAAAATATTTTTTTAAAACAAGCTTTTATTTAAAGAATAAAATGACGTAGCTTAACAAAAGATTTTTTAGCAAGAAAGTTTNTAAAACAAGCTTTTATTTAACATGTACGATCAAAAGAATAAAATGACGTAGCTTAACAAAAGATTTTTTAGCAAGAAAGTTTTGTAAAAACTGCACTAAAATTAATAAAATAAAAAAAGTTAAGCCTTCGATACAGTTACTAAAAGCCAAATAGTGAAAGGAGTTACTCAAATTCTAATGAAAATTACTAACAAGCTTGTTTTAAAAAAATATTTTTTCCCATTATTTTATTTTTAAATCAAAAACACTTCCCTTAATTTTAGATGAGTGGACGGGTGGTCTAGTGCACCCTGTACAGTTAGAAAACAGATAAATCTAGATAGTTAACTAAATTTTTTATTTAATTATTGAGGCATATTCTTGTTTTCGTACGAATCGAAAATTGAAATTTTTGTGTAGAAAATTATAGGAAAATTTCATGATTTTCGATTCGAACGAAAACAAGAGTACGCCCCATTATTTTTTTAATAACCATAAATATGTTTATTGCAGGCACAATCAATACGCATCGATATGTTCGATTGAACGACAATTCTACATACTGCACCATNATTTAATTATTGAGGCATATTCTTGTTTTCGTACGAATCGAAAATTGAAATTTTTGTGTAGAAAATTATAGGAAAATTTAATGATTTTCGACTCGAACGAAAACAAGAGTACGCCCCATTATTTTTTTAATAACCATAAATATGTTTATTGCAGGCACAATTAATACGCATCGATATGTTCGATTGAACGACAATTCTACATACTGCACCATCAAGTGTTTTTTGAGCTCATTAACTCGTACAGCAGATCTCACAATCACATTTAAGGGTCCTAATAAAAATGTACAAAACTACAGACACTCAATAATATTTCTGTAACAATTCAACAGTATGGTTGAATTTGAAAAGTATTATATGTATACCATCGAAAGATAGAAAACCGCAACACAAGTGCCATGGAAACCCCGAATACAATAAGGAGCTGCTCCTTTTCTGCTTTGCAACTCCTATATTTAGTACCAGTAGTATGTGAATTCCACAGGCAATATAGAATCAGAAATTCAATCATCGATAATACAAAGTGGTATTGAACGAAGGAATGGAAAAATTTACTGATTATATTGTATCACTTTGTCAANTAAAACCGCAACACAAGTGCCATGGAAACCCCGAATACAATAAGGAGCTGCTCCTTTTCTGCTTTGCAACTGCTATATTTAGTACCACAGGCAATATAGAATCAGAAATTCAATCATCGATAATACAAAGTGGTACTGAACGAAGGAATGGAAAAATTTACTGATTATATTGTATCACTTTGTCAAAATTCTCTTGAGCTATGAACGTGGTTGCAAAAAACGACGGTATTGATGTCTAGACTATTCTCACAGAAATCGCTCCAAACTAAACGACCTGTGTTGTGAATTAAGAACGCACGCTATAAAATAAACGTATGACATATGTGCATACATATAAGTATTCATGTACATACATATTCCTGTAGACAGAATACAAAGATGGGGACAAGGTTTTTATAAAACCAAAGGCTAGAGTTTACTGTTTCCTCAATGCCTGAGACCGTCCATACGTGGCGAAGAGTCACATCCTGCTCGAGGTGTCCCTGCTTTTACAGAATATGGCGGATCTAGAGAGGAAAACTCGATAAAACCCGTAATCCCAGGTGTTAGCCGAACCGTGCCTAGGGATGAATGGCACTACGTAAGTGTGTCTTCGAACGGAGGACTCCAGATACCTGGCGCCCTCTGGTTTAAACCAGCCTTTCCGTGGTACAATGGGGCTATGCTACGGATGACGTAATATCCCCTACACTCGTGGGAACAACAATGCCTAAAAAAAACATTAATTATAAAAAAAATACACCAAACACTGGAAAAGGTCGCATAAAACACCATATACCTGCTGAAAAGCAATTATTCAAAGGAAACGGTTATGTCAGATACAAAAAACTAAAAGCTATGGGGATTAAGCGTGATGAAGCGGAGAGGTTGGCTCATGATGTGAGAGAATGTAATAAAATCTTTGGGAAAGTTAAACATGATCGAACCCAAGAAATCAAAGGTTTAGTTAAGGTCGAAGAAGGTACTGGCCCTAATCAAGTCGATGTAAATGGTATCTTTCAGTTTGAGCGCCAACGTGATATATTAAGACGAATTCTCGCACAAGGAGTTCCATTGGATGAGGCCATACCATTAGCCAGGGAAGCTGGTGAATCTCAAGAACCTTTCGATCGTGCATTAGCTAAACGATTTGTCCGCGAACAACTTTCAGACATTAGATCCTCCTCAGACGAAATAACAGTCACTGGAGGTGCACGAAAGCGTTTTAGAATATTAGTTTCAAAAGGCGTTCATATTGAAAAGGCTAGAATTGTTTGTCAGTGTCCGGTGAAAACCCGTCAACTTAGATTTGCTCTGAGTGGCACAATAATAGAACCTACACCTAAAGCCCCTAAACGACCAGTTCGAGCAGCTAATACCAAAAGCTCACCAGCAAATTTCCGATCATCTGGAACCGGCAATACATCAAATTCAAATATAGCATATGAGCAATCACAAAATGCATTGCGTGATAACAAAAGTCATCCTCAGCAGATCAACATAAATGAAACACAGTGTAAAAATACACGCCACATTGAACCACAAATCAGTACTTCAATACGTTACAGACAGGAAACCCCATTTTTGGGAACAATGATAGAACCGCACACGAACGATGACCCACTTAGAATAAAATTAGCTGTGATATCTCCGGATTTTCCCTTGACCATTTGGCCTACGGAAATGTTAAAAGGAATACAGCATTTTATTTCCAAAGCAGCTGACAATGAAGGAATCGACTTGACGTCTCTTTATGCTTCTTGTAGTTTTCGTCCCGGGTGGATCGCATACTCGATAACAGATATGAGAACTGCTCAATGGTTTAGAACGAGAGTTCCACATCTGCGACCATATGAAGCTTTTCTAGCAGTCGTCGATCAGGATGCAGTGCCACGATCGCAAATTTTTGTGGGGTACATTCCCGAACAGAGAAACTTATCTAATGACGATTTGTTGGAAGCCATCGGAATGAAAAACAACGGTCTCCGCACACGGGACTGGAACGTAATTAATAGAACACAGAGAGGTTCAATACTGGAGCTTTTGGTTCTGATTGATCCCTTTTCCGTTAAGGCTCTTCAGGTGAACAATTATTCAATAAAATATGGACATTCAAGCGCTTGTTTAAAGCCTAGACAATCTTTAGGCGTGCCGTCCTTTCGGGAATCCACACAACCATATTCAACAAGCTCGTCCAATGTAATTTTATCTACAAAAGAAGACGAACGGAAAAATTCACATAGAAGAGAATACGATAGAAACGAAATCGTGTACTTTTCAAGTCGAAGAGATCAACATAGAAATGACAGCAACGACCGGAAAAGTTCGCACAGAAGAGAATACGATAGAAACGAAAGCGTTGACTTTTCAAGTCGAAGAGATCAACATAGAAATGACGGCAACGACCGGAAAAGTTCGCACAGAAGAGAATACAATAGAAATGAGATTAGAGATTTTCCGAGGCGAAGTGAAAAAAGTAAAAACGACTCACGGAATTCTAATTCCTACTGGCGCAGCATGTAAACAAACGGCACGCGTTATATGTACATGTTTTATAACGAGACAACTCAATTGGAAAATAAGTATACATTTATGTCTGCTTTATTGGAAAGTAAATTAAAATCATTCGACGAGGATCTTGTTTTATACCACAAACGTTATCGAGAAAAAACTTCAAAATCAGTTCAGTAATGGTGAGTAGCTTAAAAAGCCTGAAAGCACGTATTTAATTAAAAGCTTATAATTAAATTACATGTCATTATTCCCGTTCCAAATACAGTTCAATTAAAATAATCATTTCAGTTAACAATAATTCTCATAGAGGTGAAAAGTGCTAAAAAGTCTTACGTACAGGTTTGCTTATGTATGTATATCAGTAGACCTCACCGACCCCAATTCTGCTAAAAAAATGCATCCAAGGTCATAGGTCACAACCACAGATTCTTTTTGTAGACAGCTGTATGAGATGCAACCTTTTACCTATTTTCAAGATAATACTTACCGTTTAAAGGGCTGTTTCCAGCTGTCAAGAAAGCTTGCAAAAAAACATGCTCTCATTTATACAGTGCCGGACAAAAGTATTGGCACAGAGAATTTTTCGCAATGCATGCAAATTTTTTTATTATAATTGCTTTTCACCAATTTATTATTAAGGTATAGTTCTTACTATAACAAAACACATAAACACATTGTTTCTTCCAGAAAATTAACAGCAAAAGCAGTGCTTTTTAAGCAACAGAAATAAGGACAAATATTTCTAGCGAAATTTCTTGAGAGCTGGATTCTAAGCTTACGAGAAAAATACAAGAAACTGATGTTTGTATGCTTTGACCTTGGATAATTTTTTTAGCAGACTTGGGATCTGTGGAGACGTTTTATATTTTATTTTAAATTATGTACCTAAGTATGGTACCCTTGTGAATTACTATTATTTTTAATTATCACTTTGGGCCTTTTATAATAATGTTGATAACATGTTTATGTAAACTAGTAATTATCCCCGAAAATCGGGGTGCTTCGTGGTCTAAAAAACCTGGATATTTCTTTATTCTAAAAACCGCATGCATTGCTTTTGGTAGCTAACTTTAACTTTGGTATTTTGACAAGATCATACTCTACACTAGGGATGCACAGCAGAGGTGCACGCAGTCGACGTCGCGGGCAAACTGCGCGCACGCGAGCGTGCTAGGCGAGGTGAAGTGAACTGTACGGAGATGGCATCGTATTCATATTAACCACTACACACTTATTTCAAGTAAAAAGGCGTGTATGCATGTGTACTTTTGCGACAACTGAGCCAGTGTGGCATCAGGCCACCAGAAAAAGCCAATTTTTCCAAAACAAAAGCGCCAAGTTTTTATTATCGTGTTTAATAATTTTTTTGATTCAGTAAAAAGTGTATATACAAATCCATTTCCTCACGTTTTTATTAACTAATTAATTTCAATACATTTATAACAACGCAAAACATATTTAATTTACCTATTCCTCACATTTTATTCAGTAAATGAATTCCATCTTAATGTAGAATATTAGTGTATAGTGTATACATACATACATATGTACCTATGCATTCGGTGTGCTTAAATTAAAAAAGCATCACTAAATAAAAGCACCAAGCATTGAATTCCAATTATTTTGGCTTTTTGGTTTACCAAAAGCACTAAATTTAGTGCAAAATGCACGGACTTGGCAACAGTGAGCTGAGCACATCAATGCTCAAACAGTGATGCCAGACCAAGTATTGAGTAAATGCGCTATGTATATTTTTCTTTTAAAGCAAAACTTCTAATTGGCGAGGGTATTGATTTTTGGTTCTTACATAGAACACTGATAAGATTCACAAACTTATCCTAGGACTTAATTAAAATAATAAACATTATTTGTAGACGAATATATTTGTGTTCGTATGAAATAGTAGCTTATGTCGGGAGGCTGACTTTAGTAAAATGTACCATTTCCTATATTCTTTAAACCACAAGGAATTTTTTTATGAAACTTTATACGAATATTGACTTGCTAGCATCGCCATTAACATTACCGTCTGTTACGTTTATTTTCCAAGAGTTCTTCAACGACTCGGCGCCAGTGAGTGTTTCGCAATCGTACGCTGGGAATGGTTCATTATACTAAAGCCAGTCTTCCGACATAAGCTACTATTCTATACGAACACAGATATGTATACTTCCTAATAGGCTTGTAAAATGCCCAATACCCAAATCCCTCGCTTGAGTTATTATCGGTAAAAATTTGGGTACGCTCAAATCTGGCATCGCTGCAGCAAGTACAGCTCCAGTGAAACAGTGTTGATATTTTAAGTACAATTGTACTTTTTTCAGTACAATTAATTTTAAAATGTACAAAAGTATAATTTACCGATTTTAAGTACAATTTCAACATCAAAAATACTTTTTGTACCAAACGCTCAAATCTCTTCTATCACTTTGATTCTTAATCCGTTTACATTTAAGAAAATTGATATACCTATATTTCATAGCTGCTACAAAAGCAAATTATGAATTGTAATTTTGAATGTAAACGTGATTGTGAACAGTAATATTAGTGATGTGCGTTACGGTTATTGCGATTTCTTATCACCGGCGGGTGAAATATCCCTCATCGCTATTTATTTTGAAAAAATCTTTGGAAATGCAATTTACCTAATGGCGATCCTGCAGAAATAGAAGTAATTGAGCAATTCGGGGGTTGAAAGTAAAAAAATGTATGTAAATTCCATGCGTTGAAATTATAAATTTCCCTTGAGGATTTCCATTTTATCGATAGTGATCTCATTTTATGTTCATTAATATGAACTGACCTATATAGTGTATTAATGTTTTATCATCATTGTCTTCATCTTTGACAAAATTACACGGTCACCCGATATTTATTTTATTTTTCTAAATAATTTTAATTATTTTTTTTTTAAAATTGTAGCTCATTATCAAACAAAAACCTTGCAAATAAATCGAAGCTTGAAAGAATGAAAAAAATCAACAGTTTCATAAAATTTTCACAGTTTTTGTTCAGAATTTGTAGACATGTTTTGGGTTAACAATTTTGTAGCCCATTCATTCTAGTATAATAAGGTGCAAGTTGGAAGTGTCTAGAAAATACCATTGATTTTTTGATTGTTTGATGTTTTGATTTGTTTGCGGTGTTGCGCACTTTCTTCCATATAACGAACGTTCGCATTTTATGTTATATGGATGAATGCGCGTGTAGCGTTGTTTTTTATTCCAATATTTTAAATTAAGCTTTATTTTATAGTTTTTCTTAGACAATGATAAATGATGTACACAAATTTCAGTATGGAAAAAAGTGCAACACCTTCAACGAAAAAAGTTCTCAAAAATCTACGCGAATTGAATGTACTATCTCGATCATTTAAACATCTCGGACTCGCCCACCAGTAAAAATGATTATTTAAATCTAAAGTGTATATTAAATGATATTTAATATTTGCTTTAGAGATGAAATTTCGACAAATTTGTTTCAGCAAAAATGTTAAGCGCATATGCAGAATGTGGAAGCGAGATTCTTTTGCTTGCGTTTCTATGTTTATATCATTTATCAGTTTAAGCACATAGGATTAAATGTAAAAAAAAATATGTTTAATTGCGGATCCGAAAGAAATATTTATTAGTTGCATTGAGCTACGAAAAAATAGTGCCGAAAATCAATCGATTGTGCTGAAGGTGCCGGCTGCTTCCGAAAGGGCCGAAAATGGCCCAATGTACACTCATTTTCCATCACTGTCACACATACAATCTCACTATTCTGTTGACTTACTTCGTTTTCCCCTTCCGATAACTTTTTGCTTCCGCGCTTGCCCCGCACCGCTGTGCAAAGCTTTGCATGCGCAGTCGCCCGCGACACATATGTGCTGATTTGGGCATCCCTACTCTACACTACGTACACCTAAATAACTGGCCATGCGTAAAGCAATCATCTTGCTAGGGTCTGACCTTGAGACTTATTTATTGTTATTGCGAACGCTACAGTAATTTGTATTGGCGACGTTTAAATACAAAGGAAGTTTTGATTCGCTGGGCTGTTAATTTTTATGGGGTAGTAAAATTCGTTTCCCTTGTGAATCACATGTTTAAAGTCCATTAACTAACCCTTTAGTTATGTACATTAAAGTGGTCCAAAAATGTATAGTAAAAAAATAAGGTCGAATTTTTAATGCCGCCAGCCCCTAGGATTGTTCTATACCAAAAAAAAATTATACCCCTATTTTTTATTTTGAAATAAAAAAAAAATTTGGGTATGCTCAAAGCGCTCAAAGTTTTCAATGTATTTTATATGGGGAAAAAACAACTTTTCGTAGAAATAGTGTAGAATTCTTGAAAATCAATATTTTTCGATCGGAAAACTTTTCTTATCTTCAGGAGATTCCCGGTAATAACACCCAATTGTTCCTTTAACAATTTTTTCATGGTGACTATATTTTATGGGTCCTTGAAAATGCAATGGGAGGACCAATAAAAAATCTTTAATCATAAGAAAATGGTTAAATAAACAATTGGATATCAATATTTGAAGTCTCCTGAAGAGAACCACAGTTTTACGATTGAAAAACATTGATTTTCTAGAGTTTTATGCCATTTTTACGAACATTTGTTTTTTTCCCATATAAAATACATGGAAAACTTTGAGCGCTGTGAGCACTCCCTAAATATTTTTTGATTTCAAAATAAAAAAATAGGGGTATACTTATTTTCGGTTCAGAACAATTCTAGGGGGTGGCGGCATTAAAATTCCGACTTTATTATTTTGGACCACTCTAATGTACATATTTGTATGGGTTGCCAGATTTTTTATGCGCGAAATCAGTACGTCAGACTTCTTCATGCTAAAAAATCAGTACTTTTCAGTACATTTTTATTCAAAGCAAAATTATGAATATAAGTAAATAAATAAAATATAGTTCATAACAAGTAAGTAAGTCTAGGTCCGGGCGGAGCCGAACATTAAATACCCGGCGCAAATATTAAATACAGTCAGTCAATAAAGTTTAGA